TGCATATCTCTTCTGGGGGCCATAGCCAACACCGCTACCCCCCCCCCCCCCCCTCCTCTTGTGTCTTATTTTTTGAACGACAAGGGGAGAAAGAAGAGACGAGTAGAAGGAGAGGGTGGAAGGAGGTAGGAGAGATCGAGAAAGGGAAATCACTTCTTTCATTAAACTGTTTCGAATAGGAAGAGGCTGATTTGTTGTTTATTAGACTTTGGCCTTGTGAAGAAAGCACGTTCAAGTATTTATCTATAGTTGATTAAGTTTGCACTTATTTATCATTAATTACATCTTAAGATTTTTTTAATCAAGAAAAAGTTAATTAAGTTTATTAGAATTATATGATTCATATTGGAAAGACTTTATTAATAAGCCTATCGTTTTAAACCTTACAAATGGGAACCAAAGAAAGAAGTACTCTGCTTCAATGAAGCTAACAAAATTTGAGCTTTTTTCGACATTGTAAGTTAAATAATTTTCAGGACCTTGACAATTGCGAAAATGAAACAAAACAGGTTGATTTCTAAATGATTTTTGAGAGAGGAAATATATTGCATTTCTTTTATTTTTTAAAAAGGTAAAATGTAATAATGGATACCTGAATTGTCGTGCTTAGTCCAGGCGATAATATATTCTGTATTAGTTTACAGCAACTCATTTTACGACCCTGAATGGTTCTAAGGAATTGTGTTTGATTCAAAAGAAATCAGTCTCGGACCGACTGGCAAAAATTGTTATCTGAATTGCCAACGACTGCTAGAAATACGGCGACAGTATCTTGGACAATCTGACCAATCAGTCTTCGTCAGTTACCACCAGTTCCCCATGTTCTGTTTTCTAACGAAAATTGTATATAGGTGTCGACTTGAGCGTCCTATCTGATTTGATCTGATAGTGTTAATGTCAATTAATGTAGCAGATAAGATGATATACTTTCTTGAATTATTGTCGGACATCTTAAGGTGATGTCGTGAAAAGACATGGATAGCATCGTTCTGTCAAATGCGTTTGTATAATTTGTATATACGTTATCTCTTAACTAGTCGATTTTACTGATCTTTATTCAGAACAGCTTATATTATAGATCTGTATGACTATTATATTGTCATATTGTTGGTGGTTCAAGGGATAATATTCTCTCAGTGATGCATCTCAGCAGACGAAGTCATTGGATAAATATGGTAAGAAGTTTTAGGATTAATAAAGATCTAGATATTAGAAAATGTAATTATAAAATATGTTTTAATACATTTCGTGCTAATCACTCATATTCAGAAAATTCAATTAGCCTACATACCTATTTTAATTATTATACACAGATAAAATGGATTTGGTTTGTTTTTTTGGGTTTTTTTTTTCTTAGATCTACATTATTAGACATATCATAAAAATAATAATAATGATAATACTTTATTTGACAGGAAAACCAGTTTGCCAGAGAAAATTCTTCCGTGGTTCCTCCTAAACTACACACACAATAATTATAAAATACACACATTCAAAAAATATAAACTACACAAATAAATAGGCTAAAGCTTATACAAAATCATGTTAAACATACAATTATATGTACACAATATTTATAAGACAATGATGAAAAGGGAAATAAGCATTAACGTGACATAGCAATAGAATAGACCTGATATCTTCATTGTCACTTGATAAATCAAGTAATCCACAAATTTATTATACATACTTTTTTAATTTCATGATTGTCATGATCATAGACATCTTGTAATAATACTCTTATAAAATATCAATGATTCATTTGCTTTGGTCTGGAATAATTGTTTATTTTCGAATTACTTCCCTTTTTCGCCCACCTGTAATTTACAAAAAAGTCGCTTATAAGCGGAGCTTGTGGTAAATTAGTCAAGTACCATTGAAATACCAGTATAAATATAAACACTTTATCTAGATTTCAATCGATCAAATTAGAAATTTAATAACGTTATGATGGCTCGGCCAAGACTGATTTACACGTCTCCTTATCATTTTCGTTTACATAAGCGACCACATGGATTCAACATGGCTGTTATAAACAAATGTAAATACATCACAATATAATGGTATTTTTTATTGATGTTACCTGTTATACACTTATTTGTTATTTTGTCACGTCGATAAAATCATATCTAAAAATTTCAATTTCATGCTATATGTCTTATAATACTTCAATCTAATACTTTGGTCCATAGAAATGTAAGGTTTAATTTACTTCGCCAAAAAACACACTTCCCTCCACTATTTATCTAACTCACTCGCTCATACACTGCTAGAAATTCCCTCATTCATGATAAAGATGTATTCATTAATTGGCATTACCCCATTAGGCCTACAAGAACCATCACAAAAGATAATCTATAGACTCTCAATGAATTAGGAAGTTCATAGCTTATTTCGATGTGATTTTGTAAAGATTGGAAAATAGGGTCGACCCTTTGGCTTTGCTAGGAAAGTGACAATGTGTGTTGATACTTAAAATATTTTTACCAACACAAGTCATTCTTAGACTATTATTAACCCTTGCATTATGAAATTACTTAGACAGGTAAGATAGAGTCTAGGCCTACAGGTAATTTGATTTTCCAAAATATTTTGACAGTTTTATTTTCCATAAGACCTATCTTGAATCCTGACCTGCTCCAACTGTCTGACCACTATTGTTATGTCATAGCAGTTTAAGATTTGCAATCACGTTGTCTCGTTTCATTAAAAGAATATACTTTATTACTTATTGTTACAGAGAAAAGAGAAGTGGCTATGTATAGAGATCAAAATGGTGCCAGAAAACAAACATTTAGTGTCGGTTCTGATAGGGATTTAGATGACATAGCTAATTTAAACAGCTTTAGTTCTACGCAATTCAAAAATAAACTTAAGGGGGAAACTCCCAAGGGCGCCATGTCACATTTTAGTAGTTCTTTTACATCACCTGGTAGTGCTGATCCACCTCATCATGGTTCAAAAACAGGTGATGAAGAACCAACATCTTCTAATCAGCCCACTACACACTGGACAATAGAGAGTCCAACTCATCAGAAGAAAGAACAACAAGTCATGTATATTGAGAGCCCAGAACACAAAGTGTCTAAAATACCACGGCCAACTAGAGAGGAATCAACAATCAATTCAGCAGAATTGCCTTCACCAAGAAATTCGAACAGTGCTAATTATAATGAAATGGAATTGAAAGAGACTGACCCATTTAACACCTTTATTCAATCTGGAAAATCAGGTTTGTCACGAAACTCTTCAAGGAAAAAGAAAAAACACAAGCACAAGTCTGCAGAAAACACTCCAGATGAGGAATATGAAGAAAGCAAACGACACAAAAAAAGGAAAAAGCATAAACACAATCAGGGAACTGAAGATTCTTTTGCCAGTACAGATGCCTATACTGTGGAAGATTTTGAAAAACATGGATATGTAGGTGACAAGCTACCACCTAAACCTAGAAAAAAGGAAGAAGACACAGTTTCAGTTGGTAGCAATGGTACTTATATTGTTGATGATCTTGATAAAGAATCAAGTTTTAAGGGCAGTATTAATTCTATGTTTAAACGTGCCAGATCCACTATGAAACTAACAGATGATCAACAAAGAAATAAAAGACCTGTCTCCAAAAAAATATTATCTAATCAAGTAAGTACAGATATCATACTTAAATGATATCACTTTATAGATTTGAAATACCCAGGAAACTATGATAGTGAAAGTATCTTTTGATGTAGTATAAAGGTGTTTGGAATATTATAAATAGATATAGGTTTATTCAAAATAATTGAACATGTTATTCTTTAAAGGGACAGATTGGCCATTCATTTGACCAATCATACCTTTGTCTCAGAAACGGGAAATTTTGGCTATACTAAGCTAATCAGTAATAGTGTTCACAACTCAAAGTCCAATTCTGAGCCTTCAAATCCAAGTGTGTCCAGAATTATTCATTTGAAAGTTAAAAAAAAGTCTCACCATTTCTTGAGATTCTGTGATATATAGCAATAGGAAGTGAAATTCCTAATTTGAGATATTTTTGAATTTATGCGATTTTCGTGCATTTCTAGTACTTTTAAAATATACATTATAGTCAAGACCCAAATCAACCCCCGAAAATGCAAATCTGTCCCTTTTATGTACAGGTATTATACACAATAGGAATAAGTTTAAAATTACCTATGTTCACAATACATATTTTTACTGGCATATTGATCACGTATGCAAATTTGTGGTAATTTCTTTCAAGTAGAAAATGATAATACATCAAATATATAAGGTCACTCACTCCAATTAATGTTGAGCAATCTTGTACATATGTCCGAAATATACCTCCACTGATTGCCCCAAAGATCCCTAAACAATTTGAAAGTACTTTACAAATTTGTGTCTTGATTGTAGTAAAATTTTCTCTTTGTACACTTCATGACAACATCCATCTACATCAAACTTAGGAGAAGCATAGTATCATGTATTTATTCACCGAATTAGTCTATATATTCCAATATTACTGATCATCAGCTTTTCAAATTTAAGCTATGAACTCTCCTCTGACATTTATTAACAGTTGCTAAGCCCTCTAGTAGAAATCACTTTTAACAAATAACTAATTATAAGTTATTTTGTGTACCAGTTACTGTACTACTGGATTTTCAGATTAATGAGATAATCCATAGATTAATATCAATTGACATAGTTATATAACTCACAAGTTGAACTCTACTAAACATAGTTCATTAGTAACTTTTGACTTGTAATAATGGCTAGCAATAAGTTTTCTAACATGTTTCACTATAAGGGACTACTACCTATAAGACGTAAACGTAAACCCAACAAAGTAAGAACAGTATGGTGTCGTAATCTAAATTTTTTTTTGGCTGAATTACAAAAGTTTGGTTATTTTTTGACCGTGGATTTGGCTCATGATAATTCTTCTCTTTGTTTTGTGTTGCCAATTATAGACTTCTTTTAAAGTCGTTAAAATATACAAACTTGAAGACTAATATACACAAAAAGACTTATGTTTTATAGTGAATAATGTCTTCTAAACAGTTTGTTCAGAGGAAGAAAAAGTTTCACATCCCTTTTCTGTATTATACTGGTAATGGATTTTATTCTTTCCCTATCTTTCAGAAAAAGACTGCTAGTTTTATCTCCAAAAAGATATTTCAAAGAGAATGCAACAGATATACCCTGGATGTGGACTCCAAAGTGTAAGTTTTTTTTATTATTCTATTCACTTACTGTTTTGCTTTACAATTAAGGGAAGAGCTTGAAGGGAATTGTCTTGAAAGCAAAAATAGAAGTTATTTTGCTCTGAGTTATGTTTTGTGCTAAATTAGTTCTAATTGTTTGAATCTTTGTTTTCCATCTCTTTGTTTTTGTTTTTATTTACTTCTTTTCTGAAAATACTCAATATCATTTAGCTCAACAACTAAATGTTAGCATTTCTCTATTTGTCAAAATATATTTCCAGTTGGTTAAAACAACATTTTCAGTTCTGCATCTATATAAACTCAGGTTTTTTTTAAGGAGAATTTGAACTTAAGACGTGATTTGGATGTATTTTTTAGTGGAAACTGTCAGTGTGGTCGAGATGTGGAATGGCATATTGATATGGGAATACCAGTCACAGAAAGTCAAAGGAAAGAAAAGTGGTCAATGCAGACACATACAGATAAAAAAGCATGCGATTCTTTTGGGGAAATTACTTTCCGAGGTTTCGGACATGACACAACCAACTCTCCTGTAAGTTTTATATTAGATTATTATCATTTATTTTGAACCAACTTAAATTGGATTATACCCTCATTCATATTGATAAAATATATTAGTTCAGTATCCTATATTATCTCACAGTATTACTTTACACCACTAAGACATCTAGGCACTCCACAAGTCTGGTCCCTGCATATTAAGAAGTACATGCTCAAGTGCCTGATAAGCATATGAATCTTAAATTGCAAGGTGTTTATGATTTTATCGGAAAATAAAAATTTGAATTAGATGGCATGTTTTTGAAAACTATAGTTAATTCTCTGCTTATGATATTGTCTATTATCTGATGGACTTGTCCAAGTACTCATGTTTAAAGAATACTTAAGTATTTGATATTTCCAGTATGTGAGACTTGATCCGTCCACAAATCTAAATGATGTATGGGATATATTGATTGAACATTGGGGATTACCGGTACCAAAACTACTCATCTCTGTAACTGGTGGCGCTAAGAAATTTGATTTGAAAGCCAGATTAAGAACTGTTTTAAAACAAGGGTTAATACATGCAGCCAAAAGTACAGGTATTTATTATATTTTATTTTATATAGATGTGAGTATTATGTAGATACATGTATAGGAAACTACCAGAAAGTTGCCATAGCTTATTATTGTACACCATACATTTCATCAACCCAACTAGATACCAACAATACCACCAATTAATTCTCTATGTTGTCCAGTGCTAGATATTGAAATTTTTGCCTTAAAACTTAATCTTTGGATACTATAAGGTGCAATGAGTAGAATTTGCATGAATAAGGATTCTAACAGAAAAAATTTGGTTTGTAGGAGCCTGGATAGTGACAGGAGGTACAGCAGCTGGTGTCATGGAGTTTGTTGGTGAAGCTGTCAGAGACCATATCTTCTCTACTGGTAATCCAGAACAGAATCGTGTTGTTGCTCTAGGTATAGCTACTTGGGGTGTCATCAACAACAGATTAGCTTTAGATGGTGAAGGTGTAAGTAAGCTTGTAGCCCTATCTATTATATTTAAATCTTGTAGATAGACTTATGAATCAATGAGATTCTGGCTTTCTGGCCATGTATCCTCAAAACGATCTTAGCTCTAGGGTCTTTACTTCTAATACTTCTTCAATTTTTGAATTCTCTACAGGCCAATGGATTGTTTCCAGCAGTATATGCTGTAGAAGATACAGTAGATCAAGGTGATGGTGCTCCATTAGATCACAATCATACTCATTTTATCTTAGTTGATAATGGTACACATGGTAAATATGGTGGAGAGATTGAATTTAGATCAAAATTAGAGAGTTATATATCTCAAAAAGTTGAAACTGGAGTAGCTACAACTCAAAGTAAGTGAAGAGAATTGTCTGTTGTATGCTATAACTATGACTTCCATACTAAAATGCCAGCAGATATAAATTTAAAAGAATTCTTCATTCTATTGAGAAAAAGTTCTTTTTTAAAAATTTGGGAACTAAATGTCATGCATACAATCTATAAAGAAGCAAGAGTTTCTCCTTCACTGAAAACCCTTAACAAATGTTCTTTTCTTGCAAGGAGTTTAATACATGCCACCTTGCAGAAAACTTGCATGGAAATGTGTTATTTTATAGGTGTTCATGTACCATGTGTATTGTTAGTAGTAGAAGGTGGTATAAATACAATGAAAACGGTATTAGAAACATTACGACGTAATACACCGGTAGTTGTTATAAATGGTACTGGTCGCTGTGCTGATCTTATAGCTTATGGTTATAAACTTACTAAGAAAAAAAATGAGTAAGATAAAAATAGTTTTTTTTTTTACTGGAACTACCTAGTTCAGTGGTTTCCAACCTTTTTCTGCCTTCATGCCCCTGGAGCAATCACCTGGACCTTTCACACCCCCAAAAATTTGTTTCATCCTCATTTCCAGAATGTGATGATGTGAGGTGCTCTCTCAATTCAAAATATATTCTCCTCCTACACTAGTTGGCCACACTCCCGACACCCTAGACCCACACCCCAAGGGGTGAAAACACCCCAGGTTGGCAACCGACGATCTAGTTGGTGCACAATATAAAAACAATTAAATTGTGATCTTCAGTGTACAATATTTACAGAAATGACTAACAAGAACCAGAAATGGTAGGGTCAAGAAATGATCAAAAATGACTAAAAATAGTAATTGGCCAGTAAGGCCATAAATGTTGTACAAGAACCAATAATTGCATACATGAATTGACAAGCAAAGACCACAACGACTAGGAGCAGGATTAGTGTTTAACTCAGGTTTTATATGTAACTTTGTGGCTATTTGTTTACTGTTTTGAATCTCTAGATTGTTGATTTTATTGTTTATTTTAAGTGATGAAATATCAAGAAAGAGTGTAGAAATTGATGAAATATTAAAAGAACAAACAAGAAAATGTTTAGGTGTATCTGACCCAGAAAAAATCAGATCACTTGTCAAGGAACTTAATGAATGTCTTCATAATAGAAGATTGGTAGGTTATCTATTGGAAATAATCAAAATATATCAAATCTCATACCAATCCTATGTCTGTGATTCCTGAGATTCAAATACTATTCTAGACATGATTTTTATTAAACAAACTTTTCAGTTAAAAGAACAATATAAGCTATCTTTATGTTTTTAGGTCAATGTTTTTAGTCTAGAAAGGGCTGATGTGAAAGAAATAGATCGAGCTATTTTATATGCTTTACTTAAAGGTAGGAGTTTTATTTTCATTATATCTTCACCGAGAATTAAACTGAGTAAGAATCTGTTTAGGTCAGACAAATACCTTTTTCCCATTGTAGGTTATTGAATTTCTGTTGAATCTTTTAAAATTATCAAAGTTTATTGTCTAAACTCTGTTCTATCTTATTTGAGTACTTCTGCTGACTGCTAGTATTTATTATTACATTAATATTTCAAATGGCAATATTACTGTTGAAAAATCATCTTAGGTAAAAAACTCAACAGAAATAACAATCTTTAATCTTAATTAACACATTATAATTTCTGATGTAATTAACTTTTAATAGTATTCATCATTAGAATGGTATTCACTAACTATAATCTGTATTTCAGCCAATAAATCTGATGCCCATTCACAACTTGCATTAGCTCTAGCCTGGAACAGATGTGATATCGCACGACATGAAATATTTACTACTGATAATCGACAGAAATGGAATGTAAGTTTGTTTATTTAACAAAAAAATTGCAAGTTATTGGTTTTCAACACAGAAGATCTCGTTTCATTTAAGTTTTGCAGGCAGTTATTTTGTTAAAGTATCCAAGACATACCAATGCAAAATGGAAAAAGTTGTCAAGTTTTTCTGCAATTTCTGCAATAAATCATAATATGCAAGTATCTCTTTAGATTCTAATCTATGGCATGAGTTAATGAGTCTCCCATATTTTTTTGTTATTTTTGCAGCCCTCTTCCTTGTATGATGCCATGGTCACAGCTCTTGTCCAAGACAGAACAGATTTTGTGCAGAGTTTCCTTGATAATGGTGTTGATTTTCACAAATTTTTAACGAAAGAAACATTATGGAACATTTATTGTCTGGTAAGTAATATTAATCTTCTTGTTTGATAGTACAGGATCAACTTCTGCACAGTTCTCAAAGTTCATTCTTTTATGCTTGTTTGTCTCCAATTCAAACCATGCAAATGAGCAGTCCATTATATAGTTGAATTGGTTATGTTTTGTATCATAAGTGCGTTCAAATATGTAAATACAAGCCTTTTCTTTTCTCTTTAGCCATTTTAAATAAGTCTCTTAATTTCAATGCTTGTGAATCAAAAAATTCTTGTGTCAAATTTTACATTCATAAAATGTATTTTGTAGACTAGCAATGATATGATGGATGCTAATGGTGATGTAATGAGATATATGTTAGGATATATAAAGGTATGTATAACATAGACCTTGTCCACATTCTATTAAACTCTGTTCTTGAATCACCAGAGTGTAGGGCTTCTAACATCATTTACTTCCAAGTCTTGGTCATTGTGTGAACTTCTAGCTAGTAAATCATCTGATTGAGTACCGGTAAGTCATCATTCCACCAGTCAATCTGGAAAAGAACAAAAAGGTTTTGCCAATGATCAAGCTGGGAAAATGGATTCTCTGAATTTGATAGAAATGACAAATGACAGTTCTAATCTGTGACAAAAGTTATTCATCTATGTCTTAACTCCATGTTTGTTCATTTTAGAATAGAAAATCTTTCTTTTTCATTTCAGCAAACATGGCTATCATATTTTACGTGTAGAGAAACTGAAAATTTTGACAAGTCACCTAGCTTATTGAAAAATGTTAGTAAAGTCATTGTTCATCTTCTCAAAGATTCAGCTATGGATTTCTACCATGGTAATGTTCTTATTTTCATTGGCTAATTTATAGATTATGATCTATTAGTTTAGATGTAGTGTGATACCTAAATATCTAAAAAATGACCTTACAAAATGTAAAGAAAAATTGAGAAAAAATTGCTATTTTGATGTCAACTAAAATTAAATTCCAATTTGATGAAATTTTAAAGACTAAATTATTTGAATGTTTACAAAGAGGAAATAGAATTGGATATTAAGACTCTTAGATTGATTTGATTGTTTTAGATTTAGAAGTTACAAGAAGATGTGTAGAATAGCATGCCTTCTTAATAAATGTTTAAAATATTAATGACATTGCCATAGAATTGAATTATTTTAACATCAGATCTATCTGGGATGGTTAGTTTAGGTGGTATTGTATATTTCAGGTGAAGAATATTATGTGACAGCTAGAGAAGTAGGTATGAAATGGTTAGGTAATACTGATACATTGAAAACATTAAAAAGTAGAATAACACAGCAAAATCTCACAGCTACAACAAAAAGTATGTATTTTTCTTCTTTGACTTGTTTTGAATTATATAATGTGAAATAGTAAACATCTAAGTTGAAATTTAGTGGTATGATACTATGGTGAAAATATCTTGAAAATAAGACACTCCACAAAACATTTTTCCTTGTAAATAGTTTGATGCTAAGAATGTCATTCTGCCATTTGGTTTGTCATTCTTTCAGAGTGTCCACATAGGTAATACTGTTTGTGTGGTACATTATTGTTATGTTTATTATTATGTTGATATGGTTATAATTGACTGTGATATTAATTAAGTGATATAAACTAAGGTAATTTTCATTTGTAGAAACAAAGAAGAAAAAACCTAAAGATTCTCATGATTTTGAAAATCCAGCACGTGAACTGTTTATATGGGCCATTTTATTTAACAGAAGAAGTATGGCTCACTTGTTTTGGAAACTAGGTCAAGATCAAATTGGTAAGATGTTACATATTATCTTTTTCCGCACTTGTCAAGGCCAAATTCACCAATCAAATATAGTTAACAGTATTGAGCATGAGTGATGAATAGTGATCATGGTTCATATATACACAACTGATATTACCCACTAAAAATCAAACTGATTGTTTCATTTCTTACACATAATCATATTTTGGAGGATTAAACAGTTAAAAAAGAGCAAACCCATATGTTGTGTGTTTTGTTAAATCCTCTCTCTCTCTCTCAATTTTTTTGATTTATTCTTGTTTTTAAAGGTGCTGCTGTTGTGGCTAGTTCATTATTAAAAGCAATGGCAGAAGTAGCAGAACACGAGGAAGAATTAGAATTAAGTGCTGACCTAAATGAACATGCTGAGTAAGTTAGTTTATTGGAATGGTCCATACAAACTGCTTTAATGTACATGTGAAGCAAGCCTAGGATAAAGCCCCAAAACTGAAGCTCTAAGTGGAATTGAAATAGTCACTATTCGGGCAATATTTCCCTGTTTGCACACTTCATAGTATTACCATTTTCATAACATAATACAAAAGAGAAAAAAAGGAGGTAAAACTTCATATATTTGATACTGAATTGGAGGCATAAAGACCAATGACATGTGAATATAAGTATATATTCAAAATAAATAAAATAACAGAAACGTTTTCATGTCTGTGTAGTAATTTTGAAGCATTTAGATATTATTAAATATATTTTACTTGTAGAGTATATGAGAGGTTGGCTACCAATGTTTTAGCAGAATGCTATGGTAAAGATAAGAAAATGGCTCAACAATTATTGATAAGAGAACAGACATTATGGGGAGATAGGACTGTCTTTCAGATAGCTAATAACAATACTCTGATGGACTTTCTAGAACATTCTTGTTGTCAAACTAAACTTAATACAATATGGAAAGGAGCTATGGCTCTGTATACTTCTGAACCTAAGGTAAATATATTATTTATTTATTTTATTATATTAAAATATCCATATTTTATGAGCAAAACAACTTAACTTAACAGCAAGTGAACCTTAATACAGCGATTTTTGGGTTATTTTTTGCATGACTGGAGTAATGAGGACATTATGAATGAAACAGCCTAAAAATAATATAGTAGACATTTTAATTTGCTAGTTCTGTAAATAATTTATTGATGTCATACTGTTCTTTAAACATTAACTTATCAGATCTGTATATGTATACTATTCCTTTTGAAAGCCTTATCTATGATGATGATGAAAGCCTTATCTATGATGATGATGAAAGCCTTATCTATGATGATGATAAAGGCCTTATCTATGATGATGATAATGATTTAATATATTGATTTTTCAGATCTGTTTATGTATACTGTTTCCTGTTCTCTTACCATTTATCAAATTCTCCACCCATAAATCTCTGGAAGACATTATTGATGATGATGATGATGATGATGATGAAGAAGAGGAAGCTGAAGCAGAAAATACCGAATCAAAAGACTCCAACAGACCTCCCCCAGGAAATAAAGTTGTCCCTGCTGAAACTGATAAAAAGAAAGGATTTACCCCTGCCAAATCTCGACGAAAGAAAGATTTAGTAAAGAAAAAAATGTATGGTGTGGACTATTTTAAATGTGACAGAAATAACGTCAATATATTGTCAGCTTTGGTATTTTTCTACTCTGCACCTGTTACCAAATTCTACACTGGTTTGGTAAGTATACTTCGAATATGGTAGTTTGAAAGGCTGTTAAAGGCTGACAGGAATCAAAAATACCTCTAATTTTTTAAATAAACTTTTTAATTTCAGTAAGATTAACATTGCTATTAAAGCAGGACTATGTACCGATTTTCATTTATTTAATATTTTTTGAAAAATAAAGAGAAACAGGGATTACTCCGTCTAATGACATTGATGTAAACCCAAATTTAAGTTAAGATATTGATACAAATTTCATATTTTTGGCCATAGGGCGGAAGGACTTCATAATTCTTTTTTTTCTCCCTCTTTAATTGAATCAATATTTAATAATAATTTTGTAAATAATGGTCTTTGGATTTGGAAATTGATAAGCTGTTAAACAGAATAATTTTAAGTAATTATTTTTTTAGGTGGCATACTTGGTGTTTTTGGGTGTATTTACATATTTTGTGTTGGTTGATTTACGGCCAGTAATAGAAGAGAATTCACCCTCTCTACTAGAATATATAACGTGGGTATGGCTAGGTACAATGGTTATAGAAGAATTACGGCAGGTGAGAGATTTATGATTTGTATATGATTTGTGTTGACTTATTTTTATCTAATATACTGACAGTAGAATAATATAGAATATAATACTATTCATTCTGAAAAGGGTTATGAATGTCTGAAATTGAGTCTTATCAGTTAGTAAAGGCAATCTTTAAAACTGAAACTTCTCTATTGCTTTTGTTATATTTTGATTGTTTTCTTCTGAAAGAACACAAGTTCCATTTTAATTTTTTTTTTAAATGATATTGTCATTGTCAAGGTATTGTTTCAGATTATAGTATTAGATCAACCACCTATATATAAGTTAAGGAACTGGTTTGAGAGTGTCTGGAATAGATTTGATTTGGCGATGTATATGTTGTTTCTGATATCAGTGGTTCTAAGATATACTATCTTCAATACTGATTTCCTCTGGGCTCGTATCTCTTACAGTATCACTCTAGCCATGTTCTACCTCCGTCTTATGCAGAGTTTTTTTATCTCCAAAAATATGGGACCTAAAGTCATCATGATAGAGAAAATGGTAAGTTGAAGTGGAATGGTGTCTCAGACTGGGAGAATTTATAGTACATTACATATTGCAAATTAAATTCTGTTTTGCTCCGGATCGTGTTAATGAAGATGGCAAATGCCAAACAGTGTACAATGGGAGAAACTTTGTCAAGACAGTGGCAGTAACCCTTTTTATTCATTGCACAGCCTGTTGCCTAAGAGACATCAAATCATTTCCCATCTGAGCTCTATCATAACAGCCCCTTTGACCAGCATTATCGACTAGTTTGGATTATCTTGCCAAGATTGAATTGTAGACCTCTAGATTATTGAGTAAGGTCACTAAGCAACCTAAGATGTAATATTAATGACAAAGGTGATTGTCAAGTTTCTTATTTAATACTTCTCTATTTCTTTTTCAGTTGACAGATTTATTTTTCTTCTTTTTAATCCTACTGGTATTTATAATGAGTTTTGGTATAGCATATCAAGCCAATCTGTATCCTAATTCACCATCAAGTTGGGTCATACTGAAAAATATTTTATATCTACCTTACTGGCAAATGTATGGCGAACTCTTCCTTGAAAGAGTAGAAGGTAAATTTAATGCTTTCGTTAATGTTGCAGATGTGAAAGTGACTGTTTTAAGTTCTCAGAAATGGACTCTGATAATAGTAATTAATATTTGGTTGATAAACTTAAAATCCATTGAAGTGATTGACCAGTCAGATAACTGGAACACTACATTGTCTATAGATATGTCTTTGAGAGCTACCCTTAGCCTGTTTCAGAATGAAAATTCAATGTTTAGTTTGTCTGCAGTAGTGTTGAGGAAAGCTTGATTGTATCAGCTGAAAATAAGAAATTTATATCCTTTGATTATTATATTTAAACAGGTGAAGAAGAGGGGTGTACATACAATGAAACTATTTGGAGAGAAGATTTATCACAGCGGTGTCCAGAAACTAATGCCTTTGTGCCTGTTCTATTAGCTATTTATATGATACTCACTAATATTTTATTAGTAAATCTACTTATTGCTATGTTCAGGTTAGTCTAATTTTGAAAATTGATTCAACTTCTAAAAAAAACTTTTGCTCTCAATTTGCCATGCACTAGAATGAGATTTTGACAAATAGAATTTTCTTACTAGTTCAGATTTTTATTCAAAGTTATGACATTTTGGATAATTTGGAAAGATCAATGTAAAGACATTTGGCCAAGTACCAGCTGGTATACAAGATACTTGAGAACCTAAGTTAGCATATCTGTAAATATGGATGTTTCCTTTGTTTAATTTTTTTAATGGACATCATCAGTAATATCTTTGATTTCAAAAATTTTCTTTCCAGTTATACATTCCAAACTATACAAGATAATTCACTGAAAGTCTGGAGATTCTATAGATTATCATTGGTACAAGAATTGTTTGACCGACCCACACTAGTACCACCATTGGTTATAATTAACCATATCTACCGATTATTTAAACTGATGGTGAATAAAACTTGTGGAGATTTCCAGAAAAAAGATGATTTCTGTAGGTTATAACATGCATTTTGTACCATGATTTTATTTCAAAGTACAAGAATTGTATTTAACTTGCACTTGCTTTTAATCGCTTAATGATTAGTTACGAGAAGTTTAATAATTAGTTAATAAGTTTTTTATAATTGCATGCTTCAAAATTTCTACATTCTGCACTTGTCTTACATAAAATCAACATTCTAACCAATTGTGAAAGGTAATTAGTCAATACCATATCATTTTAAAGGTGAGAAACTAACAAGAGAGGAGAATTTAAGATTAAGTTTATTTGAGAGAGGTGCAATGGAGAACTATCTGTCTCATTCCTTAATGAAAGAAAGAGAACTATTGGATAATAAGGTTACCACTACAGCTGAAAGGTAAGTAGAGATTCAGATTTCTATATTTTTCAAATCTACCTATCTCAAATATTGTGAAAATGATGTCACTGTGCACTGCCACTTAAGTCAGTAGATTTACATAAAGTAAAATATACTTTAAAAAAAGATATATATTTGAGTTTTATAGTTCATATATTTTTCAAAATATGTCCTATATTTTTCAAAATATATATATTTTGAAAAACTGTTATATATTTTGAAAAAAATGTCTCATATTTTGATTACATGTCATTTTTTAAAAAATGTTATATATTGTGAAAGTATGTCAAATGTATTGAAACAAATGGTACAGATTTTGAAAAAAAATGTTATACATTTATAACGTCATATAATTT